AAAAAAATTTGTCCGTCGAACCTCCATGGAATCTAGAGAATGTTTCTGCAATAAAGAGCTGTGACAGCAGCCAATTTGCGGGTAAACCCCATCAGTTCTTAAACTCAGATATTTCAGAAAACGACGCTGTACCTGCTCGAGAGCATTAATATGTGCCGCATAAAACGGCGACCATACAACTGATGCATACTCTAGCTTTGATCTTACAAAAGCATAATAGAGTAGTTTTAATGTGTTACTATTGCTAAAATCTCTAGTATTACGCACAATAAATCCCAAGGCCTTAAAACGAAGATTGAACGACTTCAGATATATGCTGAACGAAAGATAGTTTACTGTCAAATGTGACACCCAAATCTTTAAAAACAGATACTCTACCTATCATCGTATCACCGATAGAATAATTAGAAATTTGTGTTTCCGATTTCAAGGTATAAGACATGACTTTACATTTTTCAACGTTCAATGGTAAGTTATTATATGAACACCATGCAACTAATCGATCAACACACCTCTGAAGCCGTTCACAATCATGAGGCGAATCAATGCGGGAAAATATCTTCATGTCGTCTGCATACAGTAAGACACTTAAATCAATTATATCAGTGACACCGTTTATAAAAATGTTAAACAATAACGGTCCCAAAATAGACCCCTGGGGTACACCGGGAGTAGCGCACAGTTCGACCGAATTCTGGCCACAATACTCCACCCTCAACAATCTGTTTTTTAAATAGGACTCAAACAACATTAATAAGTTAGCTGAAAACCCAATCCGATCCAGATGGTAAAGAAGGATCCCATGGTCAAGTCGGTCAAACGCTTTAGAAAAATCAGTATACACAACGTCGACCTGACTCTTTATAATATTGCTAAATTATAAAAGCATGGTCTTTACGTGAAACTCCTTGTTATCTATAAGTATTTTACTAAAAAAGTTTTTACTATAAATAATGGTTTTCCTGGAAATTCATCAAAAATACCGCCAGCAAAGTATTAATAATTGATATGTCTCTTAACTCTATGCTAGTTTGTGGACTAAAATAACTTCCTGTATCTGCTCCTCAGTTTGTAGATATGATATCTTAAAGTAAACTATTCCCAATTTACAAATTAATGTTCCTAGTTAAGATTAAGACTCGTAGCATTCAGTTTATTTTTACACATGCAAAAATAGTCAGTCGACTTTATGAATGGAGTTTGTTCTATTTATAAACACAGTTATTTTTACTACTGTACGGAGTACTTTACATTGTAAAGTATATCGACCTTGTTAGTATTATGTAAATAAACTTTTAATGAATGAATACTACTATTTATAAAACAGTGGAAACTATTAGTATTATTTATGCTGCATTTTTGGATATTGAATCATTAGACAAGACTGAACCCAAGTAGTATTTGGACGTTATCTAACGTTGGGTATACGTCGCATTCAATAAACCCGACGTCGGGTACCAACGTCGGTTCGACCGCCTGACGACCCTTATTTGCACCTAAATGGGGAATACAGATTCGGGTCGCCTCGACGTCGGTATCTGACCTAATAGGGAATGTAATTCTACCAATTACCAACGTCATATTACGTTGGATTTTAGTCACTTAAAATTCGTCGCTAAGCACTTACGTTACGTTTGGTTTCATATTCGCTACCAAGAATACATAAAAACCTAACCAAACTACCTAATTACAAATGGATTCATAATCACTCCTCGAATATAACTATATATAATAATAAGTGCCTATCTAATTTCATATTATAATAATTCTGAATCATTAAACCAGACATCAGTTTTGTCAACGGAAGTCACTTGTTTGATATATCTGATTAAAATACTCCGGAAAACAACGAACGCCTTCAAAATTAGGTAGATTTATGAAATAAAAATATCTATAAAAAAGTAACTCCCAAAATATTTTTTTAATTTTCTAGCTGGTTTAATCATAAAACTGTACTGTGGTTCCCCAAACAATATTATTCTACTAGAAATGGAATGTGAATATAAATTTTAAAAACAAAAAACGATTTTAAAATGGCTGACAATCGGATACTTGTTAAGAATGGCGGATTTCTGTGTCCGACTTAATATGAACTACCAATAAACCAATTCCGACCGGGTCTCCAACACTAGTCGTCTCACACGACCGAAGTCATCAAACCGGATGACCGTCAATCGTATTATGACGTATATAATTCCAATGTACGCCACGTAACCTCACTTTGCGTATCAGTGACACATCAGTGATTTGTGGATTTGTGCAACTATATTTTAGTTTTTGTTTTCTCCTTAAAAAAAATGGGCAGCCACTTTTGTGGGAGGAGGATGGGGTCTGCTGGTTTCCTAAGCTAAAAAATGAAATTAAGATGCACCAGTGTAATGCAGCATCTCTTCCGGATAAAAAGCATTTATCGGTGGAGACAAGACATCACTACTACTATTATTATTTTGCAAAAGCCTCGACCTCTTTCTGTAAAATGTAGATGAATGTCTAAATGCCTTTTTAGTGTTTTTTTAGGCACAATAAAAAAATTAAGTTACGCAAATGCTACTTAATGGGTTGTATTTACAGACGTAAATAGAGATTCGTCCCACATAGCACGTCCAAATGAAATTACGTTTCTACAAGGGAGACACATGAGAAACAACATATGTTAAAGTGAACCTAAGTGTTCATCTAGTTCTAACATATATATATGAGATACACGCAGGTTTATATTGATAGAATTGTGTGATACAGTGTTTACTAGTTGTATCCGTATGCACTCAAGATTCTAAAGAGTTTTTTGTAACGTAACAAATAATTATTAAAATGATGAAATCTGACGTCGGTATATGAGACATACAATGTATAAGTCATATGTATGTGTGATACTTCGTATCATAGTTGTGCCTATAGTACACACCTTGTAAAAATGTGACGTATACACATAATATAAAGATCTATAAGACACTTTGTAATAGTGTACTGTTGTGTCTACATTCTAGCATGAAATGAAGGTGTGCGCATGCGCGGATAGCCTCAGCGTAGACACACCGACCAAGTGTATCTTATGTGTCCTCTCTCCTTTCTTCTTTCTAGGAGTGGTACGTATTAGCAGCCATTATTGTTTTATCATTCGGAAGCTCTATATAAATGTTCTGTTTGTGTGTAGTTTAAAAGAGATTTTAAGGTAAGTACAAGTTTTAATTACCTTGTTACACCTTCCGAAGGGTATTATTAATATTATAGCAGCGACTCTTCCCTTACTCGATACCCAATATACCAAATTTTGACTCCAATGAATGAAAACTCCAAATATTCTCGTATAATGATAAAGAGGTTAGCTGAGTTAGCTCTGCAATATATTTTTTTTTTTAATTTGGAAATAATACAAATCTAAATGGACCATAGAAAGAAAGATTTAAACACTTCAAAGAACTTCTTACACTGATATTCGGTAAGTTATTGATGGATCAATATGCAGGTATGTTTAATATTCAATAATCAGTTTCATATAAAATTTAAGGGTGAGATTGTTAATCTGGAAATAAAATACAACAAAGTCCAACAGAGTGCTCGATGAATGAGTATGCTAATAAACCAACTTCTTGGAGGAAAAGAGGAGAAAAAATGACTAAACGAGGTCCACCAAATTTTGGCGATATACCAGTGTTTACCATTTTAGTATGTTGTTATACTAGGTACTTATATTTTTAATACATTTTGATATAAATTCTGTTCTTTTTTACAGTGTTTTCTTCTTCTGATTTCTACAGTGTAAATAATTATTATTATTGTGTTATTTGCGCTATATTGCGTTCCATGATATAAAAGAAATATAAGAATTTTATTTTTTAACCACTTAATCCATTTTATGGATGAAAAATGGTACATTTAATACAAAACAAAAATGGAACAATTTTAAGGCTACTTCTCTTGAACTTACGATCGAGATACTTTTGGTAAATACAAAGTTTTGCCTTCCTAATTTCGTTCTAAAAAGATATAATTGGTATCATTGAATAAATATTTCTTAAAAGAACGAAAAGTTAGGCATCAAAACTTGTATTATTTCCTAAATTCGTTCATAATAAGTAGTTTTATCTAGCACAAGATGTATATACGAAGCAAAATACATACGTATACACGCGGTAGTCACAACTGCAATGTGTAAACATAGTTTAAACGTAATACACAAGCACTGTGTATCCTACGGCACACTGTGTAACCCTTCCTTTGTGTATACGTAAATGCTATACTGTGGCTACATTGTGAGGCGGACGTTTAACCTTTGTGCATACGTGTTGAACTACAATGTGTAAACGTAGCATATTTACATCGGAGGAATTGTGTCACCCTGTGTCTACATCTAATAATGTAAACACATCTTAAATGTGATTTGATGTGCTGTATGGGGTAAATTAGGTTATAAATATGAACATAAAATACAACAAAATATAATTGGACGTTACTTTAGGGATTATCAGTGAGACGTATCCTATTCGGGCAACGAGTAGACGTCGGGCTAGTTCAAGTATATGTACGTCATGCAAGCCAACGTGGGAACGACGTTGGGAAATTAATAAAAATGGTACGTTGTTATTTTGTACGTCGACAGATCGTTGGAATTACCGACTCGGATCCAACGACGTCGCTTTTAATAGGAAAGCGACGTCACCGGTCGTATCACCAGCAGTTGATCTAAATTTGCACAAAGTCTGACGTCGCTTCAGGTCAGATTTAGTTCGAAGTCAGATAGATGCTACTTGGGAATCTAATAGCTGAAATTTAAATGTGTAACATATACCCACAGTAAAATATGAGGTCTCTCCAGAGAGCGAATACATGACAGTGATAAACGTCTGTCATTTTTTGGATGGCCTCTGTCGAGATCTTCTTTGACTCATTGGCTTGTTTTAATAAGTATTGTTTTTAATACTGATTAAATCAATATTTTGGTGTTTTATGATTAAAATTAATAGCATTTTATTGATTCGTCATTTATCTTTGTTTCAGATGACGCTCACTGAAATACTGAACCGCTCAAATGAGAAAAAGTCGTTTTATTTTATGCGTTGGCAGCTACCCTATTGGATGTATAACATTTACTGTGCAGTGGGCATGTTTGCTTTTGGAGCAGCCTGCTCTCAGCTGACGACTGACGTTATGAAGTACACAATTGGTGAGTAGTTACTCTATGGCACTACAATTTAACTCTAGACTAAGACTTTTGGGTTTTTCGCCACTAGAAGATTATCTACAAAATAAAATAGATAGTTTTTTTACACTACTGAGTTATAACAAACGTATCTGTTAAAAAACTAAAGTGTTATTGAATATTTCCATTTAGATATTTCAAATAGTTTTTTCTTTGTTCTTTGTATTATTTGTTGCTTCTGATGAAGGAAGGATATACAGGGTGTTTCAACACGCGAAAATTACCCTTGTTCAGCCAGCGGTAGTTTCATAAGGTCACCAGCAAGGGCAGTTTGCTTCATATTTGAAAACGAAAGAAGCCAGATCATTAGTGCCTGAGGCATTAGCCAGAAAACGCCACTGCACAGGCGGGTTGGCAACTACTTTGCTTTTGTTAACGAAAAATAGACTAGCGACATTTATTTGATTACTGTTATGAAGACACACTTTCTGGTATTTTTTATCTCTGTATTTTTTGATGTGATTTGAAAGGGGTTGAATAAAATGTAAAGCTATCATATCAGGACAAAAACGATTTTCTGATAAAGAAATCTTAGTGAATGATGAAGGAAGAGTATACAGGGTGTGCCAGAACAAATGCGAAAAACTTCAGGGGTGATTCCTTCTTCACATAAAGGGTAGTTTGCTTCATAAATGTTGGGTCAAAGTCAACCATTAGGGAGATATTGCGGCAGAGAGATGGCGGTTAAATAATGTTTTTATTTTTGTCTTGAAATCCAGCAGAAATAGACTAATAAAATTTTATGGTTTGTTGGCTGAAATGACAATACTCTTTCTGGTAATTTTTCACTTTTAAATGAAGCGTTGAAGGGGTTGAAATAAACTCCTTATCATTTCTGTTAACGAAAATTTAAAGGAAAATCGTATCAAACACATGCAGGGAATATTAATTTGGATAGTTCAGTTTGTTTAGAAACTTTTTTATCTCTTGTATTTTTTTGATAAAACTCACCGATTTGAAATTAAAAAATAAAATGTAAAGCATTACATATCAGGACAAAAAACATTTTCTGATAAAGAATCTAGTGGGCTGCTGTAATTTTTTTAGGAAAAAATCTAGTCGGCCGCTGTTACTTTTTAGGATGTTCCTAATATTATTTTATTTGACATTACTCTATTGCAATACGTTATTATCCAGATGATTATTATTATCGTAATTATCACTAGATTCTTAATCTAAAAATGTTTTTTGTCCTGACATGTAACGCTTTACATTTTATTTTTTAATTTTCAATCGGTGAGTTTTATCAAAAAAACCCAAGAGGTAAAAAAGTTTCTAACCAAACTAAACTATCCAAATTAATTTTTTTGCATGTGTTTGATAAGATTTTTCTTTAAATTTCGTTAACAAGAATGATAGGGGTAGTTTATTTCAACCCCTTCCACTCATTTTAAAAAAGTAAAAAAATTACCTGAAAGTGTGTTTTCATAACAGTAATGCTTCCATAAAATTTCATTAGTCTATCTCTTTTCGTTTACAAGATAAAAAATAAAAACATTATTTTTCCGCCATTTTTGTACCGCGATATCTCCCTAATGGTTGACTTTTGACCCAACGTTTATAAAGCAAACTACCCTTTATTTTGAACAAGGAACCACCCCCTAAAGTTTTTCGCATTTGTTTTGAAACACCCTGTATACATCCTCTGAAACATTAGGTATTTTTTGTCTCTTTGTGGTAGACAACGATTCAGTATTGAAACTAAAAGAATTCCGGACTTCCACTGTCTTTATTTATTTTTTTTATTAATACAACGTTTCGATCAGAAGGATCACTGACAGTTATGAAGTGTAAGCTAAACTAATCCCTAAAACTACTGTTTTTTATATCACAGCCAGGCATTCACTTGTGAAGAAGTTGGGTGCAGGTCAACCGTGAGGTTATCCACTTGTCTGTTGATGATGAGATGGTTTTAAGTTCAGAAATTGAGCCCATTGGCGTAACTATAGTGGTGCCCGGTGGTGCCCCCCCAGGTACTGCTGGGCACCCCCTAGAAAAATCTTGTATTATGACTCTTGGCTACGTATTAATTTTTATTTGCTTGTGATGTAGTAAAAATGACGTTTTCTAGTTTTGTTTAGTTAAAATTATTTTGTTGTGTTCAAAAAATGGTGTTATTTTTTTTTTAATTGTAGGTATTTAAGTAATCTACAGGAACACGGTTTGATAACGAAGTCTATGCAATTTATTGATAGAGATATTTCATGTAAACGTTTTATTCAAAAAATGTGTTTTTTAATATTATTCTTCATTTTTTAAAGAACAAAAGACCTAGGCCCCCCCTGGGCTCAACCTCAAGCCCCACCCAGTATAAATTGCTGGTTACGCTAATGATTGTGCCTGTTGTTATTGCTTTAATTGAACATTGTAGAGATCAACTTCTGGACTTAAAACAATCTCTGTTAAGAGTTACGACCCACAAACAAACTATGGTTTTAATGCTGAAATTTCTTTAAATCATTACCACAAATTACCTATAACAGATGCGAAAGAACACCGAATTACGCGTTCAGGTTTCTGTGACCTTCAGAAAGAGTTATACATAGACAATCCGCATCAATGTATAGTTTGGGTTATTATTTGTTTGGGTGAAAATAATCTGCACCAATATGTTATCGAGGCATATAATCTCACAGTAATTTAATAAATTGCTCGTTATATTATATCAGTTCGTAGGAGATTAGGAAAAAAAAATATTTATAGTATAAAAAATTAATTTATTTAACAAAATTTAATTAATGATGTGACAAAATAGTTACTTTTCTATTGGTTCTATCGGACTTTTTTCGACTATATAATCGGTAATATAATATCTTTATTTTTTGTAAACCTTAATGCATAAAATATTTTCAATCTAATAAATAATTTAATGATGTAAATAAGAGGAAATTTCTCACATGGGTGGTCAAATTCTATAGTTTTCATTATATCAAACAGCCTCTGAATGTTTTCTTCAGTGCAAAACTCATCAAAATTTAATATAAATAATTTTTCCATTTCCAGTAAATAAAATGAACAAATTTTTGCACTTTCATGATCAAAAGGCTTTTTAAATGGGTAAATAATTTCGAGTTATCCAGAGATTCGGATCTTTTGCAAATTTTAGACAAATATCACATTGATGTATTTGAAGACCCTTTTAATTGATGTAGTCAAACATAATTAAAGGCATTTTGAGTTGAAAACGTTTCTCAGAGGCTGTTTGATATAATGAAAACTATAGAATTTGACCACCCATGTGAGAAATTTCCTCTTATTTACATCATTAAATGATTTATTAGATTGAAAATATTTGATGTATTAAAGTTTACAAATAAAGATTTATATAGTCGAAAAAGTCCGATAGAACCAATAGAAAGGTACTATTTTGTCACATTTTTAATTAAATTTTGTTAAATAAATTAATTTTTTTATACTATAAATATCTTTTTTTCCTTATAAATAAACACATTTGTATCCCATTTTAAATAAGATATACAAATTATCAAAACTTAGAAATAACAGTTCAAAAGTTCAACAAAAATCCTACACCCGTTTTTAAAAAGAAACATATAACCACGCACTATGTCATTCCAGCAAGCGAATACGACACAGCATAGGTTTCCGGACTAAACGACTGGTGTATTTACACCACTCAATAGGCGTGTGGGGTTTGCCGAGCGGTTTGCGATGCAGTCGCTTTCTTTCGCATCTGTTGTAGTTAATTTGTGTCATTACTGTCTTCTTTAAAGTCGAATATCTCCAACAAAAATAAAGCGATTTAGATGTATCAAAAAAACAAACTATCGAAAAGAAATGCAACTTGATAAGTGGTTTGTAAATTCTTTACTTTGTTAAACCGTTCCACAAGGTGTTCCACAACTTTCACTAAAATAATAACATTGCGTTTTCCAAATAATTTAGATACAAACTGCTTAAGATAGACTAGAACAAAATATATTGAAATATAAAATATATATGAAAATTTTGTGGTGTTCTTTTTCCTGCAGGTCAGTGTAAATATTTGTTGATATACTTATTATTTTCTTTTTGTTTTAGGAAGACTGAGGCCACATTTCTATACAGTGTGTTTGCCAAATGTAAACTGCTCTTTACCCCAGAACCAACACGTATACCATACGAATTTTGAATGCACCAATCCTTCGTATATATTTAACAAAAGAGTCATGAAAGAACTAAGGTAATAAAAAAAAATTGAAACTTGTTCCATAAAGAATAAAATAATCTAAAAATGTTTTCATTTTCAGGTTATCCTTTCCCTCAGGACATTCATCATTTTCGATGTACACTATGGTTTATTTTGCGGTAAGTGTTTATATGTATCTTAAGTAAAGACTCCTCAGCCATCGTTTGTCGTGACGTCATCACATTTGTCAAATATGAGTTTTAAGGTGTGTCTGAGATCAGTTCATATTGTTTAGAAATGTTTAAGGACGTTCCTGTATTATTGATTGAGCGAGTTCCGTTTTTGGTCGCCCAACTTCGTCACATTTCGGTTTATTTCCAGTTGGTTTGGCCTCGACCTACTCGATTCTTAAAAGTGCCGGAAAACTACTCGTGAGGAGGGCGTGGGGGGATTTTTTTAGCGTTTCCTGTTGCCTCGTTTAATTTTGTTTCGTTTTGACTGTTTTGAGATATTTACAAAACGTGGCGGTATCTGTACCCGAGGCAAAGGGCTTTCTTTTTATAAATCTCAGTGAAATGAATGAAAAAAAAGTAAATCTACACGTTTCTAAAATAGCTGTTGTTACGATGATATTTCGTTAATTACATATTTACATTTATATTACATTTATATTAATATATATTCCACAACATTAATATTTGAACACGCGTTTATAATATGTAGAGGAGATATTTAAGAACAAAACTTTTCACTTAATCTGCAGGGTTATAATTACTAATAATAATATTTTCATTATTTAATTTTATTATAAATCATAATGAATTAGTATATAAAATTGTATATGTTATATTTGTTTAAGCAGCCTTAATTGATTAATATAACAATTAGTGATGGGTTGTTATTTAACTATCTGTTATTTTATAACAATTATTTATAAATAACATAACGCAACCGTTACTACTTCTAAAAAATAACAGATATAAAATAACGACACGTAGAGATCGGCCGCTCGTGAAACGAAAAACGAAGACGGCGCTCTGCACCGCAACGAAATTCTATGCTGCTCGAAGCAATTCCAAAAAACAACTAGTATGGATGGAAAACATGTTATTTCGTCAACCATCGATACAGGCGGCGAGACAACGGACAACGGAGTGGGGAATGCGCTACGGCGAACGTAGTAGCTGCTTCGATCGATGCTGTCGATGGATGGTCGTATTGGGCTTGCAACAGCTTAAAAATAATAGGATATAAAAGAAGCAGGTTTTTTGAAACAGTTGCGGGCATAGCGGCCAGCCTGGCGGTCGAGATAACAGGAGTGGGAAAGGAACGCTGCTGCATCGGTCGATTATCGATGGGGGCTCTCAACGGGTTGGAGAAGCAGTCATTTTAGATACGTTGTTTTTCAACCTGTTACGAGCATAACAGGGCGGCGGTTGAGATAATCGGAGTTGGAAAGGAACGCTGCTGCATCGGTCGATTGTCGATGGAGGTTCGAAGCAGGTTGGAGAATAACGCATCAGTTGTTTTAGATACATTGTTTTTCAACCTGTTACGAGCATAACGGGCGGAGGTCCGGATATTATGGCGCTTGTATGTTTCTCTGTACATACTTATTAAGTTTCAATATTTAGGTATTTATTTATTCTGAAAAATTTTCAGAATAATATTTTAAGATTTTTTAAAAATGTAAAAATTCGACGCGAACGAAGTCGCGGGTACACGCTAGTTTAAGTGTAAAATTAATTCGAACTCTAGTGTGTAGTTGGTTTACTTATGAAGAATATACTACACATTTTCTTATATTGCTATTTTTTTACCGCAAATGGTAAAATCATAACTAAGAGCTTCTCGCCCGTCGAGTGAGATGCACCCTATACACTGCTACGCAATTCAGGATCTACGCGGATCGAGGGGCAGGGCGTAGGTAGATCGGAATGTATAGGTATAGACGAGTGGCGGAATTTTGGCTTTTTTTATATCGCAATTTGTAAACAGCGCTTATTTGTAAACAACCACCGTTTTTAGAGAGGTATTTTAGATAACAATCGATATTTTGAAATGTTTTGACACCCTGGAAATACTACCACCGAGCACGTCATTGTTGCAACTTGCAACTGCGTTAATACGCCTGGCGGTGACCGCCTCATACTCTTTCAGATATTTAGCAATAAAATAAAGAAACCTGTTATTTTTAAGCTGTTATTTTAAGCTGTTTTTTATAAATAACTATAACAGTTTCAACTGTTATCTAAAAATAACAGTTTTGCCCATCACTAATAACAATAGTATTGCTTGATGAGTAATACGGCAACATCATCAATATATCGAGCTGATTGGAAAAATTATTGATTGACCCGATGTCAATAGTATGGTAGACGGACATTTTTAAAAAGCAATCTTCTGTTTTTGATTTTTTGACTTTCCTATAAACCAAATTTCAGGTTTCAATATGCCGAATTCATGATTTAACCAACGCTTATTCAAGATCATGATTTTGTCAATTCTACACGTTTTATTTTTTATCTCGGTTAATATAATAGAAAAATTATATGAGATATGAATGTAGTTTCGAAAAAATGTAATAACATTGGTGGTGCTACATTTAAAGTGCCAAAGATGTTTTTTGACTTTTAGTAGGAAGCGGCAATACTGTAATGCTGAAAATAATTTAGGCAGACGGAGCAGGTGCCTTTATACAAAAATTCAAGTTTTTAACAAAAATACTATCACCGATTCTCCATAAACGTCTAACGTGCCATGGCCGGGAATCACCCTGTATAGCAAAAAGTAAACATAAGTACCTATCATTATTCTCTAAAAAAATCTTGTTTATGTCAGGCGTGTATACAATATGTACGGTACTAAAACGTCAATGATAAAAATCAGCTAACGTGGGCATCCGTTAACGACCACACCACCTTTCCCGTGCCACAAAATCCGCGATAATTAGTGGTTATTATCTTGTAAAACAATACCGTTTATTACGTGCGGTATCGTCGACGCTCATATTTCAAGTTGCAGCTGAAACGTATGTACAATGTGATACACCCAGTAATATTTGCATGTAGGGATTTTGTTACGACGAAGATAATAAATTTATAATTAGAGATGGGCAGTAGATATCACTACATGTGATATTGTCACAGTAAAATATAAGTAGCAGTTGTGTTAATAACAATACAGTTTTGTTAACAATTTAAAATTTATGCGCTGTATGCACTGCATGCGAGAGTCCAAATAGAATACTCTGCTAATTCATAGTCTTAAACAGCGTCTACACTATCCCCGAAATGTTTTACGAAATATTTCTGGAAATATTTTGTGAACAAAAGAATCCCTGAAATCATAAAGTATTGATTTCACAACAATCAAACCTAACCAACTTAAAAATGTGTAGCTCATAAAAGAATAGAGATAATGGGATAATGATGATGATATAATGATTGAAAAAATGAATGTGTTTTTTGTCCAAAATGCCCGACTTGTTTTTTTCCACAGGGTGTTTTGAATTTATTGCAAAAAACAATGTTTTCATTTACCTACCCCGGTATAAATCCATCTAACCGAAGAATATAAGCCATTAAAATAATAAAAAATAATGCCAATAAATTTATCTTCACATTGATACCATAATCTTAAAAATCGGTTTACAAAATAAAAAGTTATGAAACATCAATGTCGGTGTAAGACACGATGAACAGTGCTTTCCATAACATGAATCCCTTACCCGACACAAACGGTACATTGTGAATTGTGAGACAGGAAATTGTAGAGAGAAACAAGCCCTATAACATAGGATACAACATTTTAATGAACAGTGCTTTCCATAACATAAATAAAATGAAAAATATACAAATTAATATACATGTACTGATTTCTTTCGAAAATCGACAACTATGAATCCCTTACCCGACATAAATGGTACATTGTGAGACAGGAAATTGTAGAGAGAAACAAGCCCTATAACATAGGATACAACATTTTAAAGAAGAGTGCTTTCCATAAAATCAATAAAATGAAAAATATACGAAATAATATACATGTACTGATTTCTTTCGAAAATCGACAACTATGCATCCCTTACCCGACACAAACGGTAGCTTGTGAGACAGGAAATTGTAGAGAGAAACATAGGATACAACATTTTAATCAACAGTGCTTTCCATAACATAAATAAAATGAAAAATGTAGGAAATAATATACATGTACTGATTTCTTTCGAAAATCGACAACTGTGAAATTATGTTCCCTTCCTGGACGCAAACGGTACATTGTGAGACAGAAAATTGTAGAGAGAAACAATCCCTATAAGATAGGATACAAAATTTGATGAACAGTGCTTTCCATAAAATCAATAAAATGAAAAATATACGAAATAATATACATGTACTGATTTCTTTCGAAAATCGACAACTATGAATCCCTTACCCGACACAAACGGTACCTTCTGAGACAGGAAATTGTAGAGAGAAACAAGCCCTATAACATAGGATACAACATTTTAATGAACAGTGCTTTCCATAACATAAATAAAATGAAAAATGTAGGAATACATGTACTGATTTCTTTCGAAAATCGACAACTGTGAAATTATGATCCCTTACCCGACATAAATGGTACATTGTGAGACAGGAAATTGTAGAGAGAAACAAGCCCTATAACATAGGATACAACATTTTAATGAACAGTGCTTTCCATAAAATCAATAAAATGAAAAATATACGAAATAATATAGATGTACTGATTTCTTTCGAAGATCGACAACTATGAAACTATGAACCCTTCCCGGACGCAAACGGTACATTGTGAGACAGGAAATTGTAGAGAGAAACAAGCCCTATAACATAGGATACAACATTTTAATGAACAGTGCTTTCCATAAAATCAATAAAATGAAAAATATACGAAATAATATACATGTACTGATTTCTTTCGAAAATCGACAACTATGAAACTATGAACCCTTCCCGGACGCAAACGGTACATTGTGAGACAGGAAATTGTAGAGAGAAACAAGCCCTATAGCATAGGATACAACATTTTAATGAACAGTGCTTTCCATAAAATCAATAAAATGAAAAATATACGAAATAATATACATGTACTGATTTCTTTCGAAAATCGACAACTATGAAACTATGAACCCTTCCCGACGCAAACGGTACATTGTGAGACA